TGGAAAAAAAATTGGACACAGTCTGAATTGCCACCAAACTATTTTTTTCATCAGCTACATCCTTTGTATAGGTCTCAGCAGAGTCTGACATGTCTCTTAGATTGACATTTTTCATCCCATTCAGAATACAATTTCTTAGTGAATGAAATATTAAAAGCACTGGGCAGAGAAATAGAAAATCACTCTTACTAATGAGACATTTTGTATGCTTCGATTTAGTTGCCGCATCAACCGTATCCTGGAGTCCCCCCGAGGAAATGCTCTCCTGGTTGGCGTGGGTGGAAGCGGCAAGCAGAGCCTGACCAGACTGGCAGCCTTCATTAGCTCTCTGGAGGTTTTCCAGATCACTTTGAGGAAAGGGTATGGGATCTCTGACCTGAAGGTAGGTGATTTTTAAGGCTGAGGTGTGGGGGGAAGGAAATACAAAGCAGAACTTGCCCTGAAAACTTTGTCTTGTTGCATATTGAGTGACACTGTTGTGAAGACACTAAAAAGCCTCAGACAAAGTATTGGACTGCAGAGAGGAGCAATGCTTCTCGAAATACATTGCTGAACATGTCTGCACAGGGTTGCAGACAGACCTGATGTCCTCTGCCAGTCATCTGAGCTGGCCAGGCCCAAGAGCACTCCAACCCAAGGCTTAGCATCAGTGCTGGGATGTGCTAATGAAGCCAGTGGTTTGGACATCCACTTCATGCTTGTTCAAGAAACCGTAAAGGACCAGAAAAGTTCTATTTGATTATTCTTTCTAATTAAACCAAGATGTGGTAATTAGCTCATCTGTGAGGTGCATGTTGTGGAGTGATTTGGGGGTGGAAAAGGAGCAGGAGAGAGTAGGAGGAGAGTTCCCAAATCATATTCAGTTCTTCCTCTGGTATTTTTTAAAATGGAGGGACCGAGTGGATGGTTCACTATAGACAACGCTTGCCCGTGCTTATATTTATGCACAGGCTAGTGAGCTTAGGAGTTATAAATCATCATTTTAAAATATCACTGAAATGGTTTAAAAGTATTTTAGCTGTGGGCAAAATTATTCTTATTAAAAATGTTGCAAAAATCACAATCACAGTAACTTCACACAGATTATGGAGCAGTTCATCTTGAGTGTGCTCAACAGGCATGTGCAGGTCAACCAGGGGATTGGGCCCAGCCAGCATGGGTTCATGAAAGGCAGGTCCTGCTTGACCAACCTGATCTCCTTCTATGACCTGGTGACCCACCTGGTGGATGAAGGGAAAGGCTGTGGACGTCATCTACCTGGACTTCAGCAAAGCCTTTGACACCGTCTCCCATAGCATTCTTTTTAGGAAGCTGGCGGCTCATGGCTTGGACAGGCGTACTCTTTGCTGGGTAAAAAACTGGCTGGGTGGCCGAGCCCAGAGAGTTGTGATGAAAGGAGTTATGTCCAGTAGGCAGCCGGTCACGAGCAGTGTTCCCCAGGGCTCAGTTTTGGGGCCAGTCTTGTTCAATATCTTTATCGATGATCTGGATGAGGGGATTGAGTGTGCCCTCAGCAAGTTTGCAGATGACACCAAACTGGGCAAATTTCCAGTGATGAAAGTAACAAATGATTCTTTTGGAAGAAGCATGTGTTTGCTGAATTTCTAAGATAGTTTCTTGGCCAGTGTGTTTCTTCAGGGTCCCCTCCATCTCTTGTATCCTGCTTGGAGGGTCAGGAAGGAAAGGATCCAGTTTGAGCTGGATGATGGTGCTTTTCCCATCTCATGAACAACTTGGATTTCAAAAAGATGATGTCCCTTATTAGGAGGACACTGTCTCCTTTGAAAAGAAACAGCTTTTCCATGCAAACAGGCTCTCTATCAGCATCACTGCACCGAGTGGGAGACTGAAGGGTGAGTCCCTGCTTGGACTCTGGAAGATAAGGAAGAAATACACAACGGAAAAAATCCGTGTTTGCACAAGGCATCCTCCTCCCTTCCTCACAAACAAAAATACTGTGTTGCAGCACCTCAGGAAAAAAAAAAATCTTGTATGCTTCTGAAACCAGAGAAATCTACAGCATGGGGATACCAAGGACCAACATTTCTGGTCACTGCTGTCTCCCAGTCCCTGTGGTGCTTTAGCCTCCTTGTGTATGTGACTTACTGTACCCACAGCCCAGGGCAGAGTGAGCCTTTATGAACTCCCCTTGCAATCTCCACAACCAGGGATTGCATTGATGTCTTCAGCCACTTCCATTGACCTCTAAGTGTTTCAGACTTAGGCATTTCCCTTTATCTAGCAGTGCTGGCCAGGGCTTTCTTCTCATTTTTTGTGTTATATAGACTTGGGCATAATGTCAAGTCTTACCTGATAATGTCTTACAATAATTATAGCAATAGACTCCCCCATAAAACCTGGAAAGCTCAGCTGTGAAGATGGAGAGTGGCCAAAGCGCAGTTTTATGCTAATTAATTGCAATTGCTTTGTTCTCGGTTAATGGGAAGATTCTGAAATATGCTGCTTGTAGGTGTGGTACCTAGCCCGTGCTTTGCAGAATGTAGGTGCAGCCCCTAAGTTCACTTACTTTTCAACCTCCAGGCAGACCTGGCAAACCAGTACCTGAAAGCTGGTGTGAAGAACATAGGCACTGTGTTCCTGATGACTGACGCACAAGTGGCGGACGAACAGTTCTTGGTGCTGATGAATGACTTCTTAGCATCAGGTATGTTTATTATTGCTTTGATTTCTCCTCTCCCCCTTTTGAATGTAGTTTTTCTCATGGCAGAATCTGTAGTTCTAGAACATGCAGAAGGGCAATATATGAAGTAAGCTAGAAGATACATGGGTTAAGCTCTAGAGTAAAAGCAGTGCTAAGGTCTCCTTGGTGAGGATGCACTCCATCATCTGGTAGGTTTTTTTCTTTCTCTGATCTCTTGTACCCAGTTTTCCATACTTCATGGTATACTGCATGTGGTTGTTAAATGACGTGTCTATTGTGATATTGCAGCTGAGGACAGAGCTAAAGGAACATATTAATAGATGAGGAGTTTGACCCATGGATCCTGTGCATCCACACTCTAGTTGTCTAATAAAATAAGGTTGTTCCTGGCTCGAATATTTGACTGGAGTATCTGTGAGTTGGTGGATGATGCAAAGCCACCAGATGACCCTGTCTGTGCGCATCAACTAACTGCTTATCCCATCCCCAGTCCTTTTCCTCTTTGTTTTTCCAGATGCATTTAAGTTTTTGAGTTGTTGCTTGCCAAAACAGTTGCAGAATAGTCAGTCTACATGCCAATGCTCTGTTGCCCTGCAGAACACAGCACAAGTATGTGTGGATGAGTGCTGGGTGCACTGGAACTGCAAGTGTACATGGGAGTGTGCAGCTGTGTCACCATGACCACACTAGGTAACCTAGAGTGGGTGTATTCCCCAGACTCCCTGGTAAATCAATGCTACTAACTGCATGCCACTTGTTGCTTTATTTATGAGTTGGGAGTGGGAAGATACCAGCTGGTTCAGGTGACCTCCATGGATGGTGAGGGGCGGAGAGTTGACAGCACAGTGGAGCGATAGTTTATGAGTAACTCCAGAGTTGACATATGTGGCTATAAATTGGCCAGATGGCTTCAGCAGCAAAAAAGCCCTGCCTGTGATGAATTTGCAACCAGGAGTAAGGACAGGGGTTGTTGTGGAGGGTTATGAGTAGCTCCCGCCACCTCTTATGCGTGGTGTAGATGACACAAACATCTCATGACTCAAGGTGAAGCTCTGCGGTGTCCTGCAGCAAGGGGCAGACTGAGCAGCCTGGCTTTAGGATGTCCAGGTCATCTTACAGTGGCTTTGAAAGGCATTATGTTTTCCTGTGGTTCCTGCGTGGGGAAGTGGGGACAGGTGAGAGGTCCTCACTCAGGGTCCAGGGAGGCAGTGTAGAGTTGCAGCCAGACTGAGGAAGGGACCATACAGGGACTGTAACTTCCTATGACATGAGCTAGTGCCACCCAGCGGGTGCTGACTGGTGGGTCTGGCTGCTTTCTGCTATCTATATGCTCATTTTTCGTACTTGTTTCACTTCTTATCATCACCTAAGAAGCTAGAACAAAATATGTATTTTAGTCTTTCTTATAAATGAGCAGATTTCTGATTAGTGGATTTTTCTAAGTGGTTAGTGCTCATATTGACAGTATCTCACTCAATAATGATGATTTCAATCAAATCAGAAGCCAGAAAGGAAGTGAATAGGTGATAAATTAAGGAACTACTAAAAAAATATTTGTTTGGGTACATTTTTGGCAATCAGCTGCATAACTATTAACTTTTGAAAGTTTTTAAAAGATTTCTAACTTTTAAAATGTTTTGGTGATCTGGGAGTTATTTGACCACTGCTGGAAATGGGATTGAAAAGCTGCAGACATTATCCATAGAATCATAGAATCATAGAATCATAGAATCGATTAGGTTGGAAAAGACCTTTAAGATCATCCAGTCCAACCATTAACCTACACTACCAAGTCTACTCTAAGCCAATCGAGGGTAGACTAGACTAAACCATGTCCTGAAGTGCCACATCTACCTGTTTTTTGAACACCTCCAGGGATGGTGACTCCACCACCTCTCTGGGCAGCCTGTTCCAATGCTTGACTACCCTTTCCGTAAAGAAATTTTTGCGAATATCCAACCTAAACCTCCCCTGGTGCAGCTTGAGCCCAT